ACACTTTGTTCCTTGGTCAGTATGATTCTTTAAGATTGACCTATAATTAACAATGTGCCAACTCAACACCGAGGCAATGATTATATCAAATGAATGGCTGAAAACCAAAAATCTCAAAATGTCATTGCCTCAATGCTGAATTTCACAGCAGCAACTAAAATGTATTACATGGTTATAAGTACCTCTATGAATCTAGTGTATATTAACTTTTTATTCCTGTCTACATATTGCCATTGTTGGTTAAAGCCTTTCATATAAAATCACTTTCATTACAGTTGTATTGATTTAAGTTTGCTGTCTTTAATATTTGAAATAGGAGATGTGGTATTTTTTGCAAATGAACCAGCTATCCAAAAGAGTTCAAAAAGAGGGACGAAAGATACCAGAGGGACAGTCAAACTCATAGATTGAAAACAAACTGACAACGCCATGGCCATCCAAAAGAGTTCAAAGGAGGAAGATATATAAACAAATATAGGTCACCATACGGTCGTCAACAATGAGAAAAACTCATACCATATAGTAAACTATAAAAGGACCTGATATAAAAAATGTGGAACAATTCAAACAAGAAAACTAACGGCTTAATTAGTAACAATACAATTTACTAAAAACAAATATAAAGGACCTGAATAAATAAAAAATACTAAAATCACAGGCCCTTGACATGGGATGGGCACATACAGAAATTAACAGAGCTTTCTGTATACCGGATTATTTTGAATCTACAGTTTAAGGTTGCAATAGAAAATATCAAAATTTTACATGACAAACATATGAAAAAAAAATGATTTTTGATAATTGCTGATGAGACAATGATTTAGTAAAAAAACATCAAAGCTGTGTAAATAAAAACATATTTGAAATAATACACATCTACAACCTATTTGAAATAATACACATCTACCGTTGCAAACTCTCCACAGCTGCTATCCAGCACTTTGATTTTATTAGTTGTTATTGTCTTTGAACTAGCTGTCAGTAACAACGAGTACTCTCAGATCTGTACTTGGTGCGTTCTTGTTGTGGGGATGTATAAGTACCCTACCACGTCCACTCTGTGTTTTTGTTACTTGTTTTGTGCTTTGTATCGATCTGATAAGTTAAGCCTTTTCAACTGATTTTAATAGTTTGTTCATATGTTGTACTGTAACACCACTGTCCCAGGTTAAGGGGAGGATTGGGCGCCCGCTAACATGTTTAACCTCGCCATATTCTGTATGTGCCTGTCCCAAGTCAGGAGCCTTTAATTCAGTGGTTGTCGTTTGATGCTGTATATCATATTTGTTTTTCGTTCATTATTTTGTACAAAAATCATGTCGTTATTTTTCTCGCTTGATTTGTTTTACATTTGTCATTTCGGGGCCTTTTATAGTTGACTATGCGGTATGGGTTTTCTCATTATTAAAGTCCAGAATCTTTGCTTAAGCGCAGTAAAAGTTGAGAAAGTTTTGGACTTTTCCCAATATATTCTATGTAAAGTATTTTTCAAAATACCTTCCGTAGTTTGGTCAGCCTGGAGGCAGGAAACAAGAAGTATATTTTACTGTTTGCCCTACACTTGCAATAACATATGCAATATTGGATAACGCATCCTGAACCAACGTTTCTACGCTAATTGAGGTAAATTGAACTTGATCTTAGATAAAATGACCTCACAATTCTTCGGAAAATGTCTGTATCAAGTCAGGAATATCACAGTTGTTTTCTAGTCGTTCCGATTGCCGATATATTCGAGCGTTTGGTTTTGTCAGTTTTTATAGACTTCCCCTTTTTGAATGAACTTTTCCATCCAGTATTTTAGCTAGTCAGATTTTTTTTCTGATCTCATTTTCAACATTTTTTCTTTATACCAACTCCTGTAAAACTGCAACATATTATAGTATATATATATATATATTTTTTAAGTTATCATTATTTTATAAGCCTTATAATAGTAAGATATAACAGCTAACTTTCTTTGATTTAGCTTATCACTGTTATATTTGCATGACTGCATGCTACATACTTATGCATATTACTGATATAATGTTAATATAAGATTGGAATAACATTTTGGAGATTAATAATTTGGTATAAATAACAGAAAATTTAATATAATCAAATCTTGTATCCTCATTTGCAGCTTAATGCTAAAGAGGATAGTGTTTATTGTTAGGTTGAATTATACGAATTTTAGGGGAAAAAAACGGGTTAAGTAAATTGCATAACAATGTAATTTTAACTTTATATTGTAAATCTTAAAATGTTAAAAATATTTATTATCTGTAAATATTTTTAACATTTTGATATATACATACTTAATAGTGTGTTGAAATTACATTGTTAGGCAATTTATAATTTCATTTGTGTAATTGTATTAATATTTGTACTGATTAATCCACACTAAAATAAATTTGTATGTTATATATATATATAGCACGCCTTTTACGAATCAACGTATTGAACGCACGATAATTGTAGCTTTGAGTGAGTTAAATATGCTAATGAGTAATTTTAAGACGTGGCTATATATGATTTGTAATATTAATAGTTAAATGCTGACCAATGAGACTGAACTGTGCCTTTCATAAATTAAATATGTCAATCAAACAGTGACTCGCAAAACATCTCTTATTTTCAGAAAATGAACACATATGACACCTTTTCAGTAGGATTTGTATTTCAGATAAATGCACATGTACATGAATTATTGTTGTGCGATTTACAATGAGATTTACAGGCCGAAGATTAATTATTGTGTTAATGAAAAGTGTACCATCCCAGAAAATTCTTGAGGGGGTGCATGCAAAATCTTTGATCAAAGATTGAATAGGACGTGCAGTTTTAGAGGTGTTGCACGTTATGATACGAAGGAAACTTTTTCAACCAATTGTGAAGGTATTGTTTCTTTCCAAACAAAAACAATCGATTGATTGGTTGGTTGTTCGTTGCGTAAGATCCAGGGACAAATATTTGAAGCATGCTCAATTCACGGAGATATACCTCCCCATTTCCATTCTCAATTTTACTTTGTAAAGTGGAAGAAATCACTGACCATCCAATAACATAATTTTTAGGAATATTTATTCTGATACGATAAAAACAGGTATCCAACCAAAATGCAAGTTTCTAAAGTAACACAATGTGTGGGGTGGCCATGAAAGGGAGAAAATCGAGCACATGGTATCCCATAACAATATTTTGTTTAGATATTTGCTAATTTAACCTGTATTTAATTTTTGGTATTTCTAGAAATTTGAAATAATTTGTTAATTTTTTTTTTATCAATATCGTCTCTTTGTATATTGAGCTATACCTCATTTTTTTCTTTTTTAAGTCCCCCTCTGACATTCCGCCATTAATCGCAAGTTTTAGAACCCTTGTTTTGATTTAGTGTTTGGTTTATGAGTTTGACCTGTGGTAGAGTAGGGTATGGGTTCTAGTTAGTTTGAAGTCCCTGTTTCCCCGTCCGAATTTATGTTTTAATAATTTGTTGTGAATGCATTTTATTTAGATTGATGAGGAAATCTATATGGTCATTGTTATCAAATTTTGTTAAGCAGTTAAGCTGCCTTATGCGAGCATCCTAGATTTGTGTTCTACCCAATAAATGCTGAAATACGTGCCAATGTTATTATCTAGCTGGCTATTATGTTATTTATAACTAATTGGACATTTTTGTAATACTTTTATTTCTGGAATACAAAAAATATGACCAGAAAAACCTTAAATGATCGTCGAACTACCCAAAACTTTTGAAGTTGCTCATAGGAAGTAGTGCTCAATAGAAATCCGTACGTAGTTTATTATCCCTTGTGCTTTTGGCTACGATGTCAAAGAACAATTGTATGAAATATTGCATCGCCGAAAATCGGTAATTACAAGTCGTTTATATTTCCCAAATGGCAAAATGCGCAGGAATATTGTTCATGTACAACCAATCTCTATGATAGAGGAAATAAAGTTATATAAGTGGTGGTAATTTCTAACTTATCTTGCCAAATAAGGTTGTTGTTATTTTATGAATGAAACGAGGTCATGAAAACCGCTGCTGGATAACTCGGACTAAAACAAAATCGGCCTATCACAAACTCGGACTATAACAAACTCGGACTATAACAAACTCGGCCTACCATTATTTATATGCGGAAATATATTGAACAAACTCGGACTACGATTAGTACATTGTTTTGTGGGTTTTTTTTCTCACTTTAATAAAAAACAAACTTTATATATAAAAATTATATACGAATTTTGAGATTATGATAAATATTTTTGTAAAAACAATGTATAGAAATGTATTAAAATAAACTTAGATCCATCATATTAAATATGTGTTATATGAGTTGAATTTGATATGTTTGAATGAGGATAATTAACTTCTTTTTGAAATATTATTGTGATTTTCTCGTTTGTTATTTTTTTTGACAAAAGATGTTTTAATGATTGGCGTGTGTGCGTGTTTGTATTGTATTTAATCCTTGATGTTCATAATTAGTATACAAATAAAGAGAAATTTGATTGACAGTGAATGGCTTCTTAACAATTTCACTAATCTGTAATTCTTTATTAATGGATTCACCAATTGAAAAGTAATTATATTTAAATGGTCACATCAAACAGATACAATGTTTTTAGAAAGGCAAGCCGAGGCAAACATTTATCATACATATATCTAAAAATAGATGTGGAGTAAAATTGAAAAAACAACAGAGATTTCTTTGATCTTACCTTATAGTTCTATAAAATAACATGAAAAAAAATCCCCATCTCATTCTCAACATGGGTACCGACCACTGCGTCGGCTGACATTATATATAATTTTGAATTGGTCTAAATGAATACTTAAAATCTAAAACATAGCTCTTTCATTATATAATGTTTAAGAATACGACTATATATAATTGTCATGATTGAAGTGAAAACAAAAAAATACATAATTTGTATAAGTGACTTCTGGTTTTAAAATTATAAAGTATTTTTTTTTAAATAATGTTGTTACTTCTTCAGGTTTCACAATGAAGGAGTATCGTTCTATGATGCAAAGTGAAGAGACCGTTAATTTCATCTGTACCAAGTACAATGATGTAGAAGAAGAAACAACCAGGTAAGCACTCGTCTAATTGTAATAGTGTGTTTATGTTGAAATTGTAAAGTTGATACATTTTATTTTTAAACAAACATAGCGTTTCATTAGTATTTGTATATATAGAAATCTATAAACATGTGGTATGATTGCCAATGATCAATGACCCCACATCCAACCAGAGTTGATACATTTTATTTTTTTTCCAAACATAGCGTTTCATTAGATAATGTATATATAGAAATCTAGAAACATGAAGATGTGGTATGATTGCCAATGACCCCACATCTAACCAGAGATCAATGATGCAAGGTGTTCAACTATAGGTCACTTTATAAGAAATGTTCGTTTTAATGCATTTATTATGAATTTGTATCTTTAAAAATTTAAATGTTTTATAACTTATTATCATTTATTTCAGTTGCCCAGTCAACTCAATACATATTACAGACGTTTCAGACCAACCGATACCGGACTATGGTACCTTCAACCTCTCTGTCATCTCCGCAGCAAATAATACCAACAGCCTCAACACAACCTTCACTATCAGCCGTGAACCAGACCACACAACTGAGGTAGAATCAGACCCAGCAGGTGCTCCAGAGCAAACCATACCAGAACCAGATACTGAACCAAACCTCACAGCAAGTTTTGACGTGACACGAAGACCAATAGAAGATCAGCAAGAAATATTAGAAGAGTAAGTAAATTAAATGTATTACTTAATCTATATATAGGTTGAAAAAATGTATAAACAAAAATACCAACGGTACGAAACGCAAACAGCTTTACAACGAACCCTGACTTGGTATTGTTCACATGACATGATTATGATTCAATATATAAACATTGATGTTTTGGTTTTTTTTTTTATTTGATTTGATTTATTGCTCATGAAATAGTTTTTTAATATATATGGGTTGATATTTGTAATTGCCAACTAATGTGATATGATCAGTATAATATTCAGGTTGCACTCTAATAAACTATTTATCCCTTCATTCATATACTTGATATCTAATTAAACATTTATTTGTAGTTCCTTAATTGAGCCAGACCTACCAGACACTATTCTGCCAGACATACCAGTAACCTACACATTGGTTGACCAAGGTTCCCAGCGTGGCCGGTTTAAGTTGGTGAGCAGTGATGGGTATGAATATACCAAAAAGGTAAGACATCTTAATATTAAGGTAAAATGAAATTTGTTGTATACGTCAATGAGACAGCTAAAGTAAAAAGAAAACAGATGATTTTGTACAATTTTTCATTACTTGAGCCTAACATTTATTCCTTTCAACCGACACCTTGGTTTCAAGCGTAGTTTTACGTATATGATGTAGGTAAAATAAACTAATAATTTGAAATATTTAACGTGGAACGTGGTGTGTATGCGTCAAAGTGACAGCTAATGTACATAACAGATGTGCTTATTCATATGACAAGTCCGAATAAAATAAACTTTCTATTTCAACTGTTGTATTAATGATTAACTCTAAGTAATTTTTAATTTTTAATTTCAGTCATCCAAGGGTGACTTTACGTACTGGAGGTGTTCCAAACGCTCCAAGACTGTCAACTGCCCAGCAACAGTCTCTCAGAAAGGCAGTGACTATAAGATGAACACCAGACAACACATACACCAAGCTGACAAGGGTGCACTAAAGAAAGTAGTGGTTAGAAAAGAGGTATGTATGAATATGAAAACTTAATTCATAAGTTAAGATTTATGACGATTTATTTGATATAAGATCTGTAATTGAATATAAAAACTGTGTTCATAAGTTAAGATTTATGACGATTAATTCGATATTATACACTCAAATAAAATATACATTTTTTGTGCATTATTATATTCTTGTTATTTGTTATTGTAGGTTAAAGCAGAAAGTCTTCGAGACATACACAAGTCAGCACGACGTATAGTAGATGACAAGATGTTGGAACACATAGAGCCTGAAGATCACCAGCTACCAAAGGTCAACAACCTAGAAAGACTGGCAAACAGAGTACGTGAAGACCTCAGGCCAGATGAACCGCAAGACCTTTACTTTGTCATGAGTAGATTTATTTGTTTATTTCACAGTACTAAATTTATTTAGAATAGAGGTTATTCGTATATTGAAAAATGATTAAATGAAAGAAACAATTTATAAATTTTATACGTCCATAACGCTTTGATGTATTTAACCTAAACATGCACGCTCAAAGCCGAAACACATAGATGTATAAAATATATAGCTATATGGAAAACCAGAAAATCATATTTATAGCGAAACAGCATACAGTACTGAAGATTTACAATTTATTCGTCAAAATAAGTCCTTTAGTAACATTGATTAATTGTTTATTTTTCTTTTAGTTGGACACAGACTACTTGCAGTGCAATGACTTCATCATTGGTGACATACGAGTCGACAACGAGAGACACTTGATGTTTGCTTCACCCAACCAGCTTCAGATCCTTCAACAAGCCAATCGGTGGTTCTAAGACGGTACTTTCAAGATCCTTGCAGATCCCTTTGCTCAGCTTTGGTCCATCCATGCCTTTATCCACAAAGGTGACAGCTACAAACAGATTCCACTAGTTTTCTGCCTTATATCCAGACGTAAAGGGAGAGATTATGTTGCTGTAAGTATAATCAATATTTTATAATATGTTTTGAATTATAGTAATTAATTAACAATAACATTAGAACAAACTACAATATACTCCAAGAATATCATAACGATTTAGCAATAATAATCATTTATTTTATATATATAATAATAAATAAATTTTATTTTATTATTGTGTCACATACTGATTGAACATTATACAATGACATAATAAAAATATACATTAAAACAATCAGTACCCAGCCATAAGATTGGCTTATGAGACACATATCTACAAAACATTTCACATTTAAATATATGTAAATATAACATTTCCTAAAATTTGGTTTTTGTACAATTTCAAAAAGATTTATCATTTAAATAATTACAAATTCAATTAAAAATTCATTTAATAAATTAAATTATAAATTATATAGATAAAAAATATTATTTATTTCATTTAAATATCACATGACTTTAAAAGTAGTAAAATTTAAAGGTTACTAAAACTATAAAAATTAGTATCTCAAACTAAAAATAACTTTCGTCTCATAAAAAAGTTAAAAATACTCTTGCTTAAAAATGCTTGAATTTCAGGACAATTCATCATTTCAACTAATTTCTGATCATCGTCTAAAATAGCAAAATTTTCAATATAATTTGAACATTCAGAAAATAAAAGCCATCTCAAGTCATCATAAAGAGAACAATATATCTATATATAGATATATAACCATAAGAAGTGATTGATAACATTAATTTACTCATTATCGTGTTTGTATTTTGTTTTTTTGTTTTTTTGTTTTTAGTTTTAAATTTTTATGATTTTAGTTGTGTGGTTGTTTTTGTAATTATATAAATGAATCATTATTCATTAGTGTAAGTAATACATTTTACAGTTTATTGATTGTATATTTGAACTCAATTGATATATAATCTTGAATAAATTTAATTACAGTAATTTGTTTTATATCACAGGTTTTTCAGAGGCTGAAAGAGGTCCTTCTAAGACCAGCAGAAGTTCAGTGTTTTGTTGCCGATTTTGAGCAAGGTAAATATTATTATATTAATTAAGCATCAACATATTGATTTATGCTGATTTTAATGATTATTTTGAATATCAATTTTGAATATCCTGATGGATATCAACACTATTTATTACTATTGTATTAATTGTACAATAATAACAGATTGCTTGTACTAAGAGTAATCCTCAGACTAAAAATCGAGAACAAACACGATGATAAGAGAAAATTACATGTATGTTAAATTAAACTTTGTTTGCATATTATTATGTTTAATTCACATGTATTTGAAATTAAAGCTTCTTTATGTATCATTTATATCTTTTTATATGACATGATTATGTATATGATGTTAAAGCTTTCTCGCGCATATTTATATTTATAATTACTTTTTCTAGGTGCATGGAAAGCCATACGTAAGGAATTTCCTACTTCCACCATCAAAGATTGTGCCTTCCATTTTGGCCAGGCAGTTTGGCGTAAGACGCAAGAGTTGGGCCTCAAGACCACATACACCAGCAGGGGTGCAGAGTACAGATACATCCGTTCGCTGATGGCACTTCCCTTCTTACCAGCTGAAGACATCCAGCCGGCTTTCGAGAAGCTTTCACCAAGAGCTACATCTCCAGAGCTAAAGCAACTAGTAAGATACGTAGACAACACATGGCTCTGCAACACTGTTTGGCACCCACGCAACTGGAACATCTTTCAGACCAGCATCAGGACGACCAATAATGATGTTGAAGGTATGCATTTTTTTTTTGTATTTTATATAAGAATTTCATTTTCCTATCAAACTGGTGGCATTATTATATCGTAACGAAAAATTATAAAATTAATTTTAATTTAATTTCCATGTAATCACACGACGTTCCCATTGACATGGATTACTGCAATATAAATTATATAGATATAGGAAGATGTGGTACGAGTGCCAATGAGACAACTCTCTATCCAAGTCACAATTTATAACAGTAAACCATTATAGTTCAAGGTTATCTTTTGTTGTGATGAGGCAAATAGCTTTCTTTTTTCTTTTCATGTTTTTAATGAATATATATGTATGTAAATACATCTTTTCTTATAATTTAATTCTATTTTAGGTTGGCACACAAGGATCAACTCCGACATCGGGAAAGCTAATGCCGCCTTCTACGTCTTGGTACCGGCCCTTCATCGGGAAGCCAAGCTTGTTGATCTAACTGTCCGATTGGTTTCTGAGGAACAGGTCATCAGGAACCAACGCATTCGCTACAAGGAGCTGGAAGGTCGTCTTCATCAGTTATGGGACCAGTACACAGAAGGTGACAAAACAGCATCCCGTCTACTTCGCGATTGTGGCAACATCTACGGTCCGTCCAACCACTAGCTGTTAATTACTCCTGCCTGTGTTTATGCTTGTGCTTTAGCCTTGACAGTATTCATTTTTGCATTTTGTCTCAGATATGACTCAGAATTCTGTATGTGCTATGTACGTTTTGAATGTGGTAGCTGTGATTTAAATGTGCTATGTATGCTTTAAATGTGCTTTGACAATGATTATTTAGATTTGCATTTTGTCTGTCTTATAGATGATGACAAAATGCCTTTGAGTTTTAAAGGTGCTTTATGTGTTTTATTTATGCTTCATATTATTCGTATGTAATTAAATATTATTGAATGACGAAATCATTGTTATGTTTGTTGACATCTGCTGAAATAAAATTTGTAAACCTTATGTTTTCTTTATTATACAGTATTACATTGTACAGATAAATCACACTGAGATTCAACCAAACAAAGTATGATCAGAAACATACAATTCACTGCACTGTCTTATAATTACATAAGGTTTGTAATCACCATAATTTAAACTTACAACTGACACGTGTACTATTGACACCTATTTAATCACCCAAGTGAGAACAAAACTACCTGTAACTACATGAAATTGTGATTAACTAAATATCCAATATCCAGTATTTTCGCAGTAACAGCTTGTGAATAACTGATGTTTTCAGGTTCCCTTTTTTTTTTGTTTGATTACAAACGATACACGTGGCATGATGTCATATTTCCAGTTGAATCAATTAAGATATGCATATGATAAATTATTTTGAGAGGGACATTATTACAAATTATAATACAGAAATACAAATCAGTGGTAGATTTTCATTATTAAATGCATGCATTCTTAATTTTCCTTTTATACATATCTTGTTAACGTCATTTATATTACTCGCTTCTAAAATGTTCAAAATAGATTATTTAATTAATTGTAAATCATTATTAATTTCAAATTAAGTAGTGATAATTAATTTCCAATAAAAACAAAATAAAACATCATACTTATATTCTTCTAGTAGTCCAATTTTGGTTTAGTCCGAGTTTGTTTGTGCATTGGGGTCTATTTAGGGGTATTTGGAGGGGCGTGAAGAAGGGAGGGGTTTACTATAGAACCCTATGGGAATTTATTATTTTTAAATTTTCAAATGACTATTTCTCGAAAACAGTAGGTGATAGACACATGCAGTCTTCAGTAATGAGAACAGGACAATACAAAAAATCAACCAGAATATAGGGTGAGTCCCTGGGGGTCATCCTTACCCCTTTCAATTTGAAAATGTACTTTTATCTTGTAAACCGTCGCGATCCCCACCCCTAAACTATATATATACTTGAATGGGACAATAAAAGGAATCAAATGAAAATAATTTGGGGGAGTCCCCAGTGTCGTCCCACCCCATCCTGTTTGAGAACTTGGAAATGGTCAAGACCCCCACCCCTAAACCATATATATTCATGTATGGGACAATAAAACAAATCAAAAATGAAATATAGAGAGAATCCCTGGGGTCACCCCACCCCCTCCTGTTTGAGAACTTGTGAACGGTCGAGATCCCCACCCCTAAGCCATATATATTCATGTATGGGACAATATAACAAATCAATTGAAATATATGGGGAGTCCCTGGGGTCACCCCAATCCCTCCTGTTTGAGAACTTGGAAATGGTTGAGATCCCCACCCCTAAACCATATATATTCATGTATGGAACAATAAAACAAATCAAATGAAATATAGGGGGAGTCCCTGGGGACACCCCGCCCCTCCTGTTTGAGAACTTGTAAACAGTCAAGATCCCCACCCCTAAACCATATATAGTCATGTATGGGACAATATAACAAATCAAATGAAATATATGGGGAGTTCCTCGGGTCACCACACCCCCTCCTGTTTGAGAGCTTGGAAATGGCCGAGATCCCCACCCCTAAACCATATATATTCATGTATGGGACAATAAAACAAATCAAATGAAATATAGGGGGAGTCCATGGGGACACCCCACCCCCTCTTCTTAGAGAACTTGTACACAGTCAAGATCCCCACCCCTAAACAATATATTTTTCATGTATGGGACAATATAACAGATCAAATGATATATTTGGGGAGTCCCTTTGGGTCACCCCACCCCCTCCTGTTTGAGAACTTGGAAATGGTCGAGATCCCCACCCCTAAACCATATGTATTCATGTGTGGGACAATATAACAAATCAAATGAAATATAGGGGGAGTCCCTAGGGTCACCCACCCCCTCCTGTTTGAGAACTTGGAAATGGTCGAGATTCCCACCCCTAAACCATATGTATTCATGTATGGGACAATATAACAAATCAAATGAAATATAGGGGAGTCCCTGGGGTCACCCCACCCCCTCCTGTTTGAGAACTTTTAAACGGTCTAAACCTAAACCATATTTATTCCTGTTCATCATTTCAAAAAGATTTGAATGACATACAGGGTCAATCTCCTTGGTGTCACATATGCATATCACTTTACTAGACCAAACCAATATGAACTGGACTTTGCCCAATGTCAGGAGACCATGGGAATGACGAATTATGGGGGCTTTGTTTGGGAGACTTCGTAACGGCATCTTGTTACAATTATTTCTTGTTAATTATAAAAAAATTTTGATCCAAAAAATGAGTCTAGATTATTGAATTTACTTTAATTGTTTATTAAATTATTTCTGGGCCTATAATAATTTTCATTTATGGCTCATTTTGAAGAAAACATATAAATCTTTCAAGCAGTGTAAAGCCCAAGAATGTTTGACCAAATGCTTTATAATCACCTGTCATTTTATTCCAAACTTGGTATGGAGTAACATCATGCACTTGGGGGTGAAGATGGGGGTCATTTACATTGATATATGAGTTGCTTTTGAAAACCTCGATGAAATATTAATTAATTTGCCTTAATAATCAATTCATTTAATGAACATAAATATACAATATACGAATGTTTAATGTTTGTTCTTTCAAATCTTAAAAAAAAAATTGAAGCAACATTGCCACAGTTTTCATAATTACGTTTGCCTTGGTTTTTGGTTAACTGCCTTCAGCGCTTACAGTGCTTTGATTTTATTCTTTCATTATTCACTAGTCCAAGTTTGCGGAGCTAGACAGTTAAATAACAACTTCTGAGATGGAAGTTAGAGCGCTGCTTTAAGCTCCTCCCATTGTTTGGTTTTCCTATGAAAAACGACTAAAGGCGGGATTGGAGAGTGCAAAAACTAAAAAAAAATCATTCAGAAAACGCACTCCTCTTGAAATAACAGACTTAAACTCACTCGAAGATCAAAGGAAAAATAACCATTCATGTTACAATTTTGGATATGTAAACTTGTTTCACCTGTTCAAAAAAAAAAGGTAAAAGTCAAAATACAGCCAACTTAAAATATATGCACAAAATACCTGTATATCGATATCAGTAACAGCTGTTTTAAGATTGAATTACATACAGTACATTAATCCAATCAATACAATGGACATCTCCCAATTGATATTAGAATATATTTGATACATTTATGTGTGAATTATTTTATAATTACAGTCGTTATGGAATAATTGTATGTGGACATTTCCAGTTCAAAATTATGTTGAGATATATGTAAATAAAAAGGTAGATGATATATTTAGGAAACGTCAACGTAAGATGATTCATTTCCTGAGAAAGGCAATTATGTGTCCAGTGAAATATTCAACAATAGTGTCTTCAGTGTTACGTAGAGAAATTGTCAATATGTATGTACATAAGTGGAATACAAGAGGAATAAAAACAACGTTGTTTATTTTTTTCATTGTGATTTTATTGATATTTATGAATTCATATATCAAACCTGTTCGATTCATATTTGTTCATCAAAGTGTAAACAGTACGTGCCTTTTACCAGACATTGATCCTTTTGACAAATCAGTCATGAAGTATATATGGCATCCAAAGCCAATTGTTTGCGAACCATCTCCGTCCATTGTTTATATTGACAAAATGGGAAAACTACAACTGAACAGAAGTGAAGTTTCAAAGAATAACAACCCTTTCGATTGTTTTTATCGTTTGATTGAACGTTCCGGTGACAATGATGTAACACTTTCACAGGAAGTCAAGTTTTTACGTCCAGTGTATATTCCTTCAGATTATGTAAATGTTAAATGTTTCGATGATCACAGACTTCTATATAATAATGTTCTACATAATGTTGACTATAAAACAATTCGGAAAACTAAGGAAATATTTAAAGAAAATGACCAATGCTTTAGTGTATTGATATTCGGACTTGATTCAGTGTCGCGATTGGCTGCACAGCGGAAACTACCTAAAACTATGAACTTAATCAAAAAGCTTAATGGATACACTTTAAAAGGCTACACAAGTATTGCAGCAATCACATATCCAAACCTGATGGCATCATTGACCGGAAAAACTGCGTACAGCAATGAACTACCGAAGTTAGACCCTAGGAAAGAATTCACCGATAATTACCCTTTTATATGGAAAAACTTTTCCCAAAAAGGATATGTTACAATGTTCAGTGAAGATTTCCCAGAAATAAGCATTTTTAATTATATGCAAAAGGGTTTTAAAGATTCTCCGGTAGATCATTACCTTAGGCCGTACTACATAGCAAGGAAAAAATTGCACCCAGTGCAATCGAATTTGGACCAAGTGTTTATGTTCCTGGAAGATAAAGATATCAAAATGAGAAAATATTCATCTCTTTGTTATAAAAGTCGTCCAAAACATGCAATACATATAGATCACTATAAAAACTTTGTATCAACTTATAAAGGATATCGGAAATTTGAATTGTCATGGCTAACAGAGATAGGGCATGATTATATGAATTTCTTAGAACTTGCCGATGATGATATAGAACAAATGATTCAATATTTTTATAAAGAAGGACTTTTCAAGAATACCATTTTTATTTTGTTTGGAGATCATGGTCCTAGGACGGATGAAATTCGAAATACAGCCATTGGAAGAATAGAAGAGCGTATGCCATGGTTAAGCATTGTTATTCCTAAACAAATTAAGAAGAAATACCCTCATATACATACAAATTTAAAAGACAACGAAAATAAGTTAACGTCACCATTTGATTTGCATGAAACTTTCGTGGACATACTTAATGAAAATTTTACGTTGTCTGAGGAAGTTATGAAAAGACCGTATCCGAGAGGGATAAGTCTTTTAAGGGAGATACCAAAAGATAGGTCATGTTCTGACGCTGCTATAGCAGAACATTTTTGTGCATGTTATACATCACACAACGTGTCAGTAAATACTCGTATGATAAATATAGGAAAGTTTATTGTGAATTCAATTAACATTAAACTTGCACAATTTAAAAACAAATGCTCAAAGTTATCTTTGTATCAAGTTAAAGAAGCCCAGGAAATAAAAACGGGTTTAGAATACAGAGAAGACTTTAGTAGAAAGACTTTGTTGAATCTGTTTTATCAACCAGAGGTTGAATCCGAACAACGTTACGTTGTTTTAATCGAAACTATCCCTGGTCATTCCTTATTTGAAGGTACAGTTACATGTAGTAGCAAAAACAATGAACTGACGCTTCTAGGTGACGTCAGTCGAACCAATAGATATAATAACCAATCACATTGTATATCCTATAAAACTATGAAACATTTGTGTTACTGTAAAGATTTAACATTGTGAAATCAATGAACTATAAGTAATATGAGATCAATAACCGTTTGGTTATCATTTATAATGTAGAGTTTTTATATTTCCCAAACAATCATAAAACAGAATAAAACTGTAGAAATACTTTTGTTGAAGTAGCATTTTTATAGGAAACGATTAAACATTGTTGTTGAATTGGAATTAGTATCATGCATTTTACGGATCACTGGCCGTTCATTTTAGGCTCTTTTGTGTTTATGATCTCGCATCTTTTGTATTTGTGGCTTTCGACCCCTTTTGGTATCCTCGACTCCCCTAAGTTCGTCCACCTAACAAATATCGCGGTGCATTTTCAACTACGTTTCCCGTATATTGCCGATAATTTGCAGTCATAAAGATTCAATAAAAATCTAAACTTTGACATGCAAAAGAATCAACAAAAGACTGTAGTATAACGAGAAAAAGCAACAATAAACACTTACTTGAAATCAATGCCTGTTCTACTTTCGCCCCTCAAGTTCGTCCACCGGATGTACCATCTTGTGACGTCACACAGATTAGGCCAAGCACCTTGCATTTTCGCTTTTTTTGTTTAAAGTTAATTTAAAAAGGTAAGTATTGAAAAATAAAATTTAACGATAAAATAATCAACAAGTAACAATAACAAAGAAATTTGGCAAAATTGTCTATTCCATGTCCTTGCAATGCATGCAGTAAAACTTGGTATTCATCCTCACAGCCCTCAGTTCTGTACAATATTTTAGATGTGTCCAGTGCTTGCAAATATAATTGTCACACTGCACCCATTTGGTAAGTTCAACACCAACTCCAAGTCTAATTTGATAAGTGGTGAACTGTTTACGTACACAGCATAATTCAATTTCAGGAATTTCTTCACCGTCTGTATCGCTAAAGTCCATGGAATCATCTATATATATGTGGCTAGGTCCTGGTTTAGAAGAAGTGTTGCTATGTCCTGGTTTAGGAGAAGTGTTGCTAGGTCCTGGTTTAGTAGATGTGCGGCTAGGTCCAGGTTTAGTGTGGCTAGGTCTTGGTGTAGGTGATGAAGCAGAAGTGGACGGTTTCTTTTTATTTAGTTTCCCAGTTTTCTTACTACTCTGGTTGGTTGATTTATTTTTTCCTTGGTTTTCAACATGCTGTTTTACCTTTTCTGCAACCTCAGTTTCAGTTATTGGCATACCGGATACAATCTTTCCAAGGTTTTTTCTTTCTTTCTTGTCATTTTCAGACTTAATTTTCTTTAGTTTGTTTATTCTTTCAGCAAAGAAGTGTGGAACAGTAACATCATGATCTTGCAAATCTTCAACAACTAAAATATCAGTCACAGCACTTTCAACAGCTTCCGTTACTTCTCCATTCGTATCAACTTCAACTACTTGTATGTTATCTGTTTTTGGTTCATCTGTAGTTTCTTTGCATTCATCATTTGCTGTAAATACCTCTGATGGTTTCAGTTGATCTGTGTTGATGACACTCTTATCCAGGGGGTATATTCCAGTTTTCCTAAATGCTGAATGAAGGTTTTCTGGGGATAGTGCTTTCTGGTATGCTTTGCAGGCTAGTTCACATATGTTGTATCTGGTTATGACTGAGGAGTTCTGACGCATAGTTTTGTGACATTCATTATCATAAATACGTTGCAACGGCCCATAACATCCAACATCCAAAGGTTGTAATATATGTGAAGTATGAGCTGGTAAGATGTGAATGATGATGTGGTGTTGCTGTTCCCATTCAATTATATCAACTGCAACATGTGATTTATGCCCATCAAGGAGTAGAAGTATGTTGTCATTGTTTCTGCCAAGGACATATTTAAGAAAATGGTCAGTCAAATATTGTCTGAATATGTTGGTATTGGACCATCCTGAGTCTGATACTGCACCAACAGCACCTGGTGTTGCTCCATTCATCAATTCATTCATCATTCTTTTCCCTTCAAATACAAAATATGGTGGTGCAGCAAATCCTGAGGCACTTCCACAGCCAAGTATGGTCGTAGTACTAGACCTTCCAGATGTTACTGATGATGTGTTACATTCAATTCCAGATACAACATTAGGTGGTTTATGATTCAGTGTTATACCCTTCTCATCAATATTAAATATGAGATGTGGTTTATCCTGAAGATTATATTTGTGAACAACTTGCTCTAAGCTTGCAAAGTACTTTTCAACATTAGCAACAGAACCACATTTTGCACGTTGAATCTCCAAACTTCTAGGTTTAACCACTCTTAGTTCTGGCCATCTTTTTATGAAACCCTCAAACCATCTCAAGGTAAGTTCTTCATTTCTAGCCAGATCTGTAACTTCTTGTCTAGTGTACCCATATCCATATGAAGCCATGGACTTTACATGTTCCACAATCCGTGCCTCCTCTTCAAGTGAAAAGACATGTGCCCTTCCAGTGGTGACACAATCTGGACTTATTTTGCCAGTGATTCTATCACGTAGAGTTTGCCTTGGGACATTAAATTGTAGAGCTGCTTTTCTTTGGGACATTTCTTTATTCCGTACCGATATGTATGCATTAGTCAAAGCCGTGGGACTGTACAGCCAGTTCTTTTTATCATGCCTGAGGAAAGTAGGTTTAGCCTGAAATGTAATGTGATGCCTTTCTGTTTTATTGCTGTATTTTTTGTTTTAACATTGTGTTTATGTATACATGTATATCAGTGTATGTAAAGTGCAAATTCTCAGCTAAATTTTGAGCCCTCTATTGTTAATATTGGTCAGGAATTAACAAAGTCATACCCTTTTTTTTTTTTCATTGAAAACAAATCATTACTACAGACACAAGCACAGCGAACGTGTTGTGTAATGTGCCGTAAGAAGTAATCAAAGGATCATCATCGCCCAAAAAGGAAAATTAAAAGTGATAAAATCGTTTCTTTTGTCGTAAATCATTATTTTGAATTTCCCCTGTGAAAATGAAATATCAAAATTTAGAAAGGGACAATAATGGTTGTTAATATTAAATTTATTTAAATCGAGTTCCCTTCGTCAAATTTCTGCAGCAATATAATAAAATTCTTGATTATATAGAGCAAAAATATCATAAAGGTAAGGAAAAGTGTTATTAATGTTAAGACGTATCTTTACTGAGTTTTTTAAGTAGCAGCTTTTCAGATTTTTTATAAATAAATCATGGAGAGGTTTACTTGTTTAATTTAAACCCTCCTGTGGAATGTATCAATGTCGCCAAATGATTTTTATTTTGAATTAGAAAATTAGTTCACAGAAATACAAGAAGTAAATAGTCAACCCTTTTTCACTAATTTTTCTGTAAAGTTACTATATAGTTTTCATCATTGAAAGTAAAATGTAATTCCACATTTAGAGCACATATATGATTATGTTAAAACATCTTTTATGTATACAAGTTTTATTATATCTAGACTGTTGAATCAGCATTGGCATTATCCAATACAAATGACATTGTTCGTTTCATCGCATGGGAAATTACATTAAGTTGCTATCAGTACATTACACTGTTTCTTGGATATAACACAACCATATTGAAATATGCAGGCATCTATAACTGTTCAAAACATGAATATTTTAAGGAATTACGGAAGGAGAATACGCATCAGTCTGGAGCAAATAAAATTCAATAGCCAAAAATATAGATTAAAAAAATGAAATAAAATTAAAGGAAAAACTAGAGGATAATTAAGAGAAAATACAAATTGTATATATATATATATATATATGCGTTGAAGAGGAAAGAAAACCCCATGGTCAAATGAAAAAAAATCGAATATACAGGTATGCCCTTTAAGCAATGCTTTAATCGTTTTATAAAACATATACCTTCTTTATTTAAAAATATGCGTTTTATTAGGTACTTTTGTAAACAAGGAGTGCTCTGTTTGATAGAAAATTGTAGAGTATTGGTAGGTACTTTTATAAACTAAACGTGCATTTTTCTTTTTGGTTAAACATTGTATCATGTGATAGGTTATGCTTTACTGACTCATAAAATAATTGGATCCTAATCTAAATCAAATACATGACGCATCATTTATAACGAATTAAACACGACCTTACAAGTTTAAAATCTCATCAACAAGAGAATCGTCTAATATTTTTATATTTAAATGAGATGACACAGCTGATTAACACATCTCTCTGCTGTTTCTATTTTAAAAGAAGGAGATGTAACATTGTTCTCTGCGATTGCCTTAGTTTTTTGCCTGGACCTCAAATGATAGGCTGGCCTGCCAAGGTCGTTTGTTGATTATTATTTGTATGGGTATTAATAGTATGTTGTTGTTGAAAAAGTGCATTTTAAATGCCTCTATCTAAATCATTAAGTCAAACTTCAATGACAAATAGGATACTATATTATAATAATTGAACTAGCTGTAAGTCACTGCGACTACTCTCAGATCTGTACTTAGTGTATTTTTTTGTTGTGGGAATGTATAAATACCCTGCCACGTCCGGTCAATGTTTTTGTCAGATGCATTTCTGCGATCTGAATTTATCAAGTTTGTTTTTATGTTGTACTGTTACACCACTGTCCCAGGTTAGGGGGAGGGTTTGGCGCCAGCAAACTAGTTTAACCCCGCCAAATTCTATATGTGCCTGTCCAAAGTCAGGAGCCTGTAGTCCAGTGGTTGTTGTTTGATGCTATTTATCATATTTGTTTTTCGTTCATTGTATGGGACATCCATCAGGCCATTATTTTTTTTCGTTTGAAGTGTGTTTCATATGTTATTTCGTGCCTTTTATAGCTAACTATGTGGTATGGGTTTTGCTGATTATTGAAGGCCGTACGTTGACATATAGATGTTAACTTTCATGTCATTTGGTCTCTGGTGGAGAATTGTCTCATTGGCAATCATACCACATCTTCTTATTTTTATATACACCTTCCTTTGAAGTTATAAAGTAATCAAATTGGAAATGTTATAAAGAAGATAAAAAAAAATCATTTCCCCTTTTAAAATTGAAATATTAAAAGAATTTACCTCAATAATTAGAGATTCTACATCATTTGGCAATAGAATCAAAACTTTATTCTTGAGATAACTTCTCTTGGGTGTGCCACATCATTCTTTCAATTTTAGGCCAGTTTGTGTACTAAAACTTTAATGAGACACACACCATCTATTATTGGCCCCCGTCACTTTTAATGGGTTTTTTTCAATATCAAGCATTAATGGGAGGGGAGGGTCTATATACAGTTATTTACACATCAGACCATACTGGTTACCGGAACTTTGGATGTATCAAATCAAATACTTCATATCTGAGAAACAGTCAATATTTGCCCTCCTTTTTAGACTTATTCATACATTTTTGTATTATTCAAAACTATCAGTCAAAAGGCGTTCTACAAGGATCTTGAGTCCTTCACCCTTCATTTGATACTTAAATTACCAAAATATATTCTACATAGTTTAATGTTTACACCTAATCGTAGGAACTATTTTGTTTTAAATGTGTACTACTTTCCAGTATGTTATTTTTGACCGGGCCCGATGTGGTGGTGTTAAATGCAGTGAGGTAAGAGTTTTGTTCTATTTCTCCGTGTTGAAGGCCTCACTGTGACTTTAAAATGAAGAACAGCAATAAAAACAATGTTCCTTTGCGTTTTGTGTGTTATTTGCTGTGCATGTATTGATTTTCTGTCATGGATTATGGAAATAAAAATAACGCTATAAAGCATTCACCTTCAGTGTAATATAATTGTTACTGTGGATTCCTTTATTTTCGTGGGTATCAATTTTTGTGGATTGAGTAAAAATTGCATTTTCGTGGATATTTAATTTCGTGGATTTGCCAATCTGTGCATACAAAGCCTATCAAAAATTTGTAATTCGTTAAACATTTCAATTCGTGGTTCACCTTTACCCACGAAACCCATGAAAATTGGTATTGAACGAATAAAAATGAATCCACAGTATCAAAAATCAATAAATGATACTAAGATGAGTGTAAAATTGATATACCCATGCTTGAACATAGAAATACTCTTAATACAACCATTGACAAGTAAATTTAATTTGTTTTATTAACTGAAAAATTATTATTTTTGTAGCTTAGATATTTTTTGAAGCAACATACCTGATTTGAAATTACACTCACAACTCTTCCAATCTTTTAATCGGTTATTTTAATCATTTTGATTGTCAAAATTACAGTTGTGCTTTCGTTGAACTTTTTTTCTCAGAATTTTGTCAGATGGGACAAGTGATTTTAAAAAGGAAAATAACTTTGGTCATATTTTAGTGAAATAATAATAAAAACGACATCCTACGTTTCAATCCTTATGTTGTCTGTTTTAAGACTTATGATTTTAGATTGTTCCTTGGTATAATCTTTCTTTGTTGTTTAAACAGAAATTGTGTCAAAACACAAATATACATTTGGGCCAAATTACTTATCATAAGTTTTGATGGCCGTCTTGAAATTTTTTCCGGAGTTGGTAAAAGAAATTAGTTTTGAAAATGAGATCATTTTAGTTTAACAGTTTGATTTGTGGTAGGTAGGGTAGGGTATGGGTTCTTGTTACTTTGAAGTCCCTGTTCCCCTTCCGAATTTATATTTTGATAATTTGTTGTGTATGCATTTTATTTTGATTCACTTCTGATATGGAAGTTAGGGGACTGATCTAAGCTTGTCATTCTTTGCTTTTCCTATGACAAGCAATCACCTGCGGGATTGGAGAGTGCAGTAACTAAAAAATCAGAAGTTAGCTCACCCGTAAATTTGATGAGGTCAGAATATATATTTCCAACATAAACGCTGCCAGATTATTTATTTTCACTCAGACAAGGATCCGAATATTTATTTTCTGCTCATCCACAAATTGACACATCCTCGCCCCCTGAAAATCATCTTTTCACCCCCTAAAGTAATTTAACATTTGTGATACAGATCACCTATTTGTAGGATACAGATACAACTTCAATCAAAACAAAAAAAAACCCAGTAAAAATGCAGTTTAGAATATATTTTCTATTATTATGAAAATACAAAAGCCTTATAATCAAGGGTAAATCCAGGGTCCAAGCTAGGAGAGAGTGGTGTTATTGTCCAAAATGGTAAACATTCAGGCGAGCGTAGCGCAGCCAACAATGATTTGGTTTGGAAGTTTGGCTGTAGAAAACTTCCAAATATTTAAGACAGTGTACGTCCACCATCCTTTTGACCTGAAAATATGAATTTTCATTAATGAAACCTTCCCAAAATAACCACTGACAATACTTATGTTAAAAAATTGAATTTTATAAATGTTATAAGTCTGACAATATAAAAATAAGGAAATGTGGAATGATTGCCAATTCGACAACTATCCACCACAGTTCAAATGAAGTGGATGTAAGCAATTATAATCAACCGTACGGCCTTCAACAATGAGAAAAAACCATACCGTATAGTCGGCTTTTAAAGGCCCAGATTAATAACAAAATCAATATTTTTAAACAATATTCAAAGATCTAATTACAGTCTTGAATTGGTAACCTTTTAGAATAAATTTATTAAAAGGATTGATGCGT